CTGATAAAATACCAGAGTAACTGGTTTTCTCCCCAGGTGCTTCTTGTGGTGAGTGTGAATTTTGTGAGTGTGTGTGTGTGTGTGTGTGTGTGTGTGTGTGTGTGTGTGTGTGTTTTGAGAGGGAGGAAGAATGGCACTTGATTCACCTTATCTTGGACATCCAGAGGACATTTCTTTTCATGGAGGAATTTCAGGGTCTCCACGTGGCCGTGTCTCGCTGCGTAGTAGATAGCGTTGGCTCCACTCTGAAGGTGAGAAAGAGGGAAGAGAACGTTTCAGGATTTATCCCTGACCTTTACAAGAAAATCACGCTCCCCGGGAATCTGTCTGCAGCCCGATGATATGAACACATCCTTCTAAAATACTGCAAAGCATGTTTTTCTGACAAAGAGCCATTTAAAGGATGTGTTAGCGTCCTGCTTTCCCAGGAAAACTACCAGCCCTGCACTCTTCAACTTGTTGTTATTTATTAGTGACTGTTTGAAAAGAAACCTGTTAGAAATGTGGTGATAATGTGTCAGTAATTTACACATACACACAACTTCTATCACATAAAAGCAGCATCATTTTCAAAAGAAACATATTCATATACATTTTTGAGTTGTTGAATTTAGCGTTTTTATAAGAGAAAAATCTTTAGTTGCTGCCCCTCTGGTACTGTGACCAAAAACATTTCAATTACTAATGTGGTTCTTTCATAATAACTAATAACAAGTATTAATAGTGTAGATAGCCCCCGTCATAATCAAAATGACAGTCTGTCACATTGTGTCTGCCTTCATTACTGCAGCTCTTTCATGGATGTCTATTAACCGTCTCCCCATGGGGCTGTCATAGCCTCACTGATTGGTCCAAACAGATTTCAGTCTTTACCTTGTCATTGGCCTGGATCTCTGCACCTTTCCTCATCAGCACCTCAATGATCTGCACGTTTCCACAGCCGGCGGCAATCAGAAGGGGAGGCGTCCCATGCTGCAATGCACACCCACACACATGTACTTTTGACTTTTCAGCAACCAAGATATGTTTGTGTTTATTTAATGTCAGCTGAATGGAGCTGCATACTTCAATCTGACAACATAATTACACTCAATAGAATATGGGGAAATAGGCTGATTTTCTTTTTGCAGGGTCCTTAATATTTAGAAAGTATTGATGTGTTTTTAAAAAGTTGTAAACACAAGCTTAGGAAAACGATAAGGAGAAAGAAAATAGCAAGATGTAGATGTTCTGGCCTTTAAGCTAGGACTGTAATGCTTCCATAATCAATAAGGCAAATGTCGATATATTTGGAAAAAAGATGCGTGTGATCATTTCCAAATCTAGTTTTCTGCTTTAATCCATATTTGTACAACACTGCCACTGCTGACAGAAGACTTGCCCGAACAAAGGAAGGGAAGCACCTGCAGCTTTAAATAAAGTCTCTCCTTATCTTTGACCGGCTTACATGATCAAAAGCTTCAAGAGCTTTCTAGCTTTTATGATCAGAAACACTCACATTCTCTCCCTAAAAAGAGGCCGTTACACTGGACTTCCTGACAAATAGAAAGACGCTCGCCCAATCAGCGACCTTAGTGATGACACTGAACTGAGTGTGTGGGAAAGTATACTGTGCTGCATACTGTTATAGACATGGCTTTTCTTAAAAGACTAGTTCCAAAAATCCAGATTTTCGGGGAATTGGAGGAATAAAGGAAATATTTTGTCACAAATTATTAAGCATTATTAAAAAACAGGGTTCATAGAACATAATGTATTTTTATTTGTAGTCACCTTGTTGGGCTGGTTGACGTCGTAACTGTTCAGGGAGCTGAGCAGATGCTGCAGGCCGGGGACATTGTCGTCGTTTATGGCGTGGATGATGGCCTTCATCACAAAGGAGTCTTCCTCGTCCTAGAGTGGTGGGAAAGACAGTTACCGTTCTACTGTTCATAGGATGATGACCTAATCCTGCAAACATTAATCCTGTGAATTCTTACTATCACATGCTTCCCCCCTCCCTAAGTCTCTCTTTCATCTCCTTCTCATGCTTGAAGACACACAGAAACAAACTTTCATTTTGCATCTGCAGTTCAGGTTTGAAATATATCATGGTATTTCTTTATTCTGTTTGTGACATGTGACCCGATAACCTTCAGTTTAGTGGACACAGGAATCAGCTGTGACGCTCTGCTGCATAAAGAGACGGGGAGGAGAAAGGCAGCGAGGTGAGGTGGAGGGAGGAGAGGAGGAGGCGAGGCTGATGTGGGGTCTGTTCTACCAAGCATGACAGTCCCGCTACATTCCTCGACATAACCTCCCTGCTGGGGGAGCCATGACTAAACCACCAAGAGGGAAGCAGACATAACGCAGACACGTACGAGCAGCAAACTGCCTGCTGGGGATTAAATAGAACAGACTTGCTTTGTTGTCAATTCACTAGGAAATAAAAATAGCAATCCTGATGTTGCATTTACACGTATCAAACAAGAAAAACAAATGGACACGATAAACACTGAATAAAATATTTTCAAAAGCGAGATTTTCCATTTCTTTGTTGAATCATTAAATAAATAATAACAGGATTAACAATGTATAAAATTGTAATGCAGTTGGAGTGTGTCTGTATTTAGTTGCGTAAGGCTCGGGGGTAAAAGCTGTCCGTGATTTAAATTCCCTAAAACGTCTATCAGAGGGCAGAAGATCAAACCGATGATGTCCAGGATGGGTCTTACATTTTTTTGGGGTACTTTGCTGAGGCAGCTTAGGGTGAACAGTTCCTCCAGAGAGAGCAGTGAGCAGACGATGGTCTTCTGGCCTGTGTTGAGCACCCTCTTAAGAGCTTTCTTATCCATCTCTGAGTAACTGACATACCATGTAGTGACACAATATGCCAGCACACTCTTGATTGAGAAGTTTTAAAACGACATCTCCTGCACTTTGATTTTTCTGATGATCCTCAGGAGGTGGAGTCCCTGCTGTAGCTTCTTCACTACGGTGGTGGTGTTAGTAGACCAGAAGAGATCCTCAGTAATGTGAGAACCCAGGAACCTGAAAGCTGGCTCCATTTCCACACAGTCCCTGTATAGTGTATCAATGCAGTTGTTTGGGGTTTCCACTTTCTGATAATTGCAATTTGTGATGCAAGATGGAGGGTTTTATAAATAAGTGATGCGTTATATTAAGTAGGGAATGACCAAAGAAGCAAGATGTTCTTCTCCTAAGGAGAAGGGAAGGACATCCGGAAAATACAGATGTGGTCTCGGACAAATAAAGGAAAATAGGGCCGGCATTCGGAATGAGTCATGCTCTTATGTCCCTCAAAAAGTTATTTATAAGATGTTTTGTAAAAGGTCATTAAACCGTATAAGCTTGCTACCTTAGCAGGATAACATCACAAAACATTCTCATAGCACCCAGTCATTCAATTCTCTGTCAGTTTATCTCGCTATTGTTTTGTCTTGCAAAGATAAATCGACTGAAATAAACATATTTTATAATTCAGCCAGAATAAATTGAGCCACAATAAAAAAAAGAGTCACTAATCACCGATTGTGTTTTGAAATCATATCAAATTTTTGCTCACCTACACTTTGACACTAATAGCCTAAACAATGAATAATAAATTGTGTTATTGTCTTATTCTAATTTAGCCTGTTTTCATTTTTTTTGTAATTAACATGTCAATTCACAATATGTTTATTTTTCACTATTTCTTGATGGTTTTAAAGTTCTTTGGATTGCCTTGTTGAAATGTTTTTGAGTCGCTAACACAAACAAATTCTTAGTTGAAATCGTGCAGAGTGCTGCACTGCGCTGTTCTAAACCCACCTCTGAGTAGAGCCTTTAAGTAAAGCACTTAACCTTGGATCTGCTTAGCCAATACAGACAAAAGATCTTTTAGCAAGCTTGTACTGCTGCAGTTCTGTTAGAGGTCTACTGGGGGCGCTCACTTATACCTGTGCGTACTTGTGACATGAGGAAGTTGCTGCGTAATGCTTTGAGGAGGAGAGAGGCCTGGGCCTGCTTGTTAATGATTAAGCCTCTCTCAGTGTTTGCATCTCAAAGAGTCGGTATCAATGTAAAGATACACACAGAAAGCTCTCTATCACCAATTGTGTACAAAAACAAAACAAACCGCCTAGTACAGTCACACAAGTTTCCCTCTCACATTCCAATAAGCCCAACCAGGTTACGCACACAGAGAAATTCCAACAATCCAACAAGCACCTGACCTCTGGGAAACGAGGAATAGATCAATTACATGTCGGGGCTCAAGATTCTCAGAGAGATTGTCGAGTTAGAAACACCAGAGCTGTAACTGAGAGCTCCGGGTCCTAATAGTAAAATGCACTTTAATAAAAGCAATGTGAAACTCATTTAGCTGGCCTGTTAATGATATAAATGAAAGGACAGGACTGCAGAGATGAAAGTGTTTCTGATTTAAGAGTTTTACAACATTTGAAGCATTTATGGTGTTAATTGCTGCAAACCTGATAAACCTAATGATCAAGATCTTTGCTGCATGCCGTCTCCTGTAATGACTTGTTGTACAGTAAACGCACAAATCAGAAGCAGATCTCCAGGTCTTACCAACGTGTCTTCACTGCGCGCCACACTCATGTTGCTTCTGGACAGGAAGGAACGTGACAGGCGGTTGCATAAGGAGATAAGTCGGACGGATTGCTGGAAAAGAAAAGAAGAAGAATAGAGTTCATGAATGAGCACAACTGGAGGATGTCAATGTCAAGTCACGTTCAGGGACCAGGAACAATGTTCTGCTCTATACAATCACCTTAATTACTTAGCTCATTGTGATTAACACTTAGGTGACTTGACTCTTTATCAGGCCACACATTGTTAAATCGAATGTTGTGTTGTACAGAGTTGGTGCACTTTCTTTCTCAAGGACCAGGTGAGGCAGGCAATTGTACAAACACACCTGAAACATCCATTCAGACGGGTAAAACATGCTGAATATGATAAAGTTATCTGAAACAAACAAGGGCTACTTGCAGAGGTCAGTCTGTTAGTGGCCAACAACATCCAACAATTATGAATGCTCAAATCAAAAACTATTATCATTTAGTCAAAAACGTAAATGTTACTCTATATTGGTGTCGGAAAAATGTCCTTTGATTTTTTTTTATATTTAATGGCACTCTAAAATGCATCTCTCCTGGTTGACTTATTGACTTAGATATTAAACTGAGCTAGGGATAATGTTTTAAATTATTTTAAAGCTACTAGAAATCAGTGTATGTTCTTTTGAGAAATGGATGTCTTGAATTAGACAATCAATAAACCTTTTTAAATCTCACTCAAACAACAATGTTTATATCCATGCTTTGTCATGTTCTTGTTGTCAGTTTTACGTGTGGAGGGAAATAAACTCAAAGTTGAATAGCGGGTTACAGAAAAAGCCAGTAGCTTCCAGTGTGGCGCTCTGGAGCATGAAGACGGAGACATGGCATGACAGCTTCGCCAAAACACCGCAGATAAACAATCCCTTGATTCCTTGCAGGCTAAGAGGCAAAGCTAGGTCAGCCGTGACGGACCGAAACAGACAAGGAGACGACCGCTGAAGCGAAGCTAGCAGAAAATGTGTTTGCTATGGCGATGCCGCAGCAGATGTAGTGACAACGTCTGAGGAGGGGTTTTATGAGCTTTTAACGTGTAGTGCTTTAGGGATACTGGATCAATGTTCTTGTTTTTCCAGGAGTTTGAGAAATAAATAAAACACTTACTTTCCATTTTCTCCGAGCTGCAAACTTCTTGAACTTCTCCATGTTGACAGCCGACTCCTTCCTGCTCAGTGCTTGTTGGGTGTCTTTTGGCTGATTCCACAAACACAAGGAAATGTATAGAGAGAAACAAGTTTGTGAGAATATTCTTGGCAAGACACATTTGGTAAAGTCAATGGAGGCTTGGCAACATCCGGCTTACGAACCCAGACCATCTTAAATATGCCACCAAATGAAAAAGGATACATTTAACATTGAACAGAAAATAAAAAGGGTCCAACCTTGATCCAGGGGTGCAGGAGGCTGTCCTGAATCGTCATTCTCTTTCTGTGAAGAACAATGATACACATATTAGGAGACAGAGAATATTTGCTGGATCTCTTAAGATATTTTGCACTTTATAGTAATATAATATACAGTATATTTATTTTGCACACCTTTACAATCCCCGGACAACAAGCCCTACTTTCCCCGCTGTATTCATCACTTTTTAGTGTCACCTGGTTTCCGTTGTGTTTTGAGCTTCTTGCAACGTTTTGTGTTTGCAACATTTTTGTCAAGTTGTTGAATGTTTTCTAAATGCTGCCCATGTGTTGTCAAGTTGGTGAACATGTTCTTCATATGCATGTGTTTTGGCACATTTGTGTTTTAAATGTACATTACGTTTCAAAAGTGCAGCAGGTTTCCCAATCTAAGTGTTTTCGGACGTAATTAGTACTATTAGTGGTTTCTTTTGGACGATATGTTTTAGTTTTTTGTGGCAAGGGCGAAATGTTGTTATTGCCAAGCACACATCTGTATTTTGGGCCATTGAAGCATGTTCACACGAGTCGGTCATTTTAAATGAAGCCGCAGATACACAGAGGTCATCTAGTTATTTAGGCAGATAGAAATGCCTTAGTCACAGATGTCATTGTAAAACGACAATTCCAACAAATCAAGTGTTGCATCAGGATTTAAATCTAGTCTTAAAAAAAAAATGTACTAGCGGATTAGGAAGTCTCCACACTTGCCTTCCTCAAGGTGTCCTGCCCATTTCTATCCATCAAAAGTAAATGAAACAGATGTTTTTTTTATGCAACATACCACACATGGATGAGAGTATATTTATTTATTTCAAAATAGTTCAAGAAAACCACTGGTTGTCAGGAACACCAGAAGCATTCCTGTTTTTAGTCTTCATCATGTCAATAAGATTGATAAATAACATGTATTTTATGCAACCATCTTCCTGTTCAAAATCAGAGAGATTAAAGGGATTACTAAACACAGACAGCAAACACAGCTGTGAGCAGAGGGATTAAAAAAATAAATAAATGTATGCAGTTGTGAGACAGCGATATCAGATCAGGACACTATATCATGGTCATAATCCCACTTACAATTTAGAGAATTAGTTGCAATTTTCAAAGTTATTTCTGTTTTTAGAGTATCTAAATCAAATATGTGTAACAAAAATGCAGCGCCCTAATTCATGGTAATGGGGCCAAATGGATGACGCAACAGAATCTGTCATCCGGGTACTTTAATACTATAAAATAGGTCATAACCCATCGATCTCTAGGATTTATAACTTAAAGTGGATATTGTGTATTGTGTAACAACAATCGCTCACCAACACTGCCAACTGCATTAAAAAAAATGATCACAGTGTTATGCGTACATTTAGACAAAAACAGAGTTAAGTTGCCTTGAACTGGCTATTATCTCTAAACAAATAATTTAGCTAATTATGCCAGAAGAAAATACTTTTTTCTGCCTCTTGTATTGGTTTAATTTTTTACTGAATATATTTGAGTTTAAGACATTGAATGGGACAACATCTCTGCTGGGTAACACAAATAAAAAAGACTCCTGAAATTAAAACTTTAAGATGCCATATTATTATATTCAATGATAATTGAATTGGTACTTACTAGAAATGTTCGAAACGAAACGTAATGTGATGACCTCATGTTTTGTTCTATATTGCCCTTAGCTGATCTTAAACCTCTCATTTCCTATGTGAAACTCTTGGTTCTCTTTAACAGCATGCCAAAGGAGGTACCGAGACAATCATCAAAAGTCACATGACAAACTGTTTCGGCGCGTTGGAAAAAATCTAAACAGATGCGAAACGTTCGAAAATATCTTTATTTAAGAGCCTAGACTTTGCTATTGGTGGTAATGAATCCTACACGGTTGGTCCATTTTAAACAAGATTTATTCTAAAGTTGTGACAAAATCAAACAAAATATTTAAGATTTTCAAATGAAATTACGAGATATTATATTCACACCACTAGCTTCTTCCCCTAAGTACTTCAATATTATCTTCTTTTAGGTTTCTATTTTTCTGATCGCCTTGCACTCTCGTGATGTGTGTATATAAATAGATAACAGCCAATCTAGTGTACCAGTCCTAGTGCTGCGGTTGAATGTGCATCACTGCAAACTGACTATAAAAAAAACAATGCATTCTTTTGTAAAAGTTTTTGTTTGTTTAACGAAAGCCAACACAACCTTTAAGGAAACTGGTGTGGTTCCAGTTCACACACCACTTCCTCCTGTGGACATCTGTTCAATCCAACATCCCTGTCTCTAACTGAGGCTGTTCTGTGTTTACGCACACACCTGAGCTGAAGTAAAAACCCACCAACCCCCTCCTCTGACTGAGGTAACAGGGCACTTGGTCATAGTGTCTTTCCTTATTTTACATGAGAAAATGTACCATATGTATTGCTCAATCACAGTGATTGTGCTTCTGCAGTCCACTGTCACAGTGAACATTATGAATGTGTGTGTTCTCAAGGGAGCCTTCATTAATCTTCCTGCAAGCCCAGTGGATCCTTGTCTGCTAACGGTGTAGATAAATTAAGAGCCTTTCCGCTTTGATAAACTCCACGTAGGATTTCTCAAAGTCAGTCCCCTCTCGTCGCCCACTGTCTGTTTAATGCAACCCGTGCTTTTTCTCCCATTATCTAAATGAAATTATCTCCATAACTAATAATAATAATAACTTTTATTTATATAGCGCTTTTCAATAACCCAAAGTCGCTTACAAAAACAATTAAAAGTACAGAAAGGGGGTGAACAGGCAGAAGACAACATATTGGACAAGAAAATTGAACATGAACATTACATGAACAGGCAAAGGACAACACAGGGGGGGAGCAAGCATAGGACAACGAGCAAAAGACAACATAATGGAAAAGAGGAAAGAAAAAGTTGATGAATGTATGAATAAGAGATGCAGCGTGGGGTGAATAAGAGATACAGCGTGGGGTGTGAGTGAAGTCAGTGGGTTGGGGGGTAGGGTAAGTTGAAGGCTTGGGAGAAGAGGTATGTTTTCAGCTGGGTTTTGAAGGTAGACAGTGTGGGAGAGTGGCGGACAGATTGGGGGAGGGAGTTCCAGAGGCGGGGTGCTGATCTGGAGAATGCTCTGTTGCCAAATGTTTTGAGTCTTGATGGTGGTACTGTGAGGGAGAGAGTGGAGGAGGATCGGAGGGCTCGGGGGGGGTTGTAGGGGATGAGGAGGTCAGAGAGGTAGGGGGAGGCTAGATGGTGAAGGGCTTTATAGGTGAGGAGGAGTGTTTTGAAGATGATG